ATATATATATATATATATATATATATCAAATGGTTATAAAATATTTTAAAATCTAAATGAACTGAATATTTTTAAACAAACCGAATATATTTAAACGAATCGAATATTTAAACGAACCGAATACGAATCTTAAAAAATATTCGAACTGAATTCGAATTCGAATATCACTCCATCTTAACGAATATGAATATTTTTCATGAATATTCGATTCGGTTCGGTTCGTTTACAACCCTATTCCCATATGCTAAAAGTAGATGGTACTGTAGGAAAGTGGAAAAGCCGGTCTGAAGTCGTCTCCTTCTATCTGTTCTTTGCTCCCCATTTGCTAGGAGTCATAGAGATTTGGGGAGCACTTATGGAGTTGAGTTCTTTTGTTTTGATGTTGCCAGCTGCGCCTCCGATTCATGTGGATTTATTTTTGATATTGCAAAGTGAAGCAATCTTTTTTTTTGTGGATTTTGTTTGTAGATTTGAGAATTTTGTTGTATCGAGCAAAAATCCAAAATTTTCCTCAATTTGCAATTCAATTATTTTTGTAGATTATAAATTTTATTTTTTGTACATTTTGTTGGTAGAGTACAAATTATACTACTCCCTCCGTCCCTAAATAAACTTCTCCTTTAGTTTTTTCTTTGTCCTCAAATAAACTTTTCTTTTCCCCTAAAAAAACCCCTTTTACCCCTTACTTTTTCATACTATACCTATCACATCATACCTTTTTACTAATAATCTACATATCACATCAAGGGTATTTTTGGAAAGTCAACACAAAAATATCCCTCTCTTAAATCTTCAAAAAGACAAAAAAAGAAGTTTATTTAGGGACGGAGAAAGTATTAATTAAATGTTAAAATAATAAAATATTATAAAAGTGTATTATATAAAAGATATGGTTAGAGTGAATGTAAAAAATCGAATTGCTAAAACACTATTGAAAAGCTAAAAAGACAAATAGAAGACCAAACTAAACTCATTTTAGTTACCTATTTTTGTTATTGATTTAATAAAATAATATAGTTATGTCACATCTTGTATCTCAAAACATTTGATGCAGACTTTAAATATATAATTTTTTTAATTCTACATCAATTCTCAAAATAATTGAATTGAGTATAAATTCAGGGGGAAAATACTAACGTGGGAGTAAAACATTCAAAATATATCAAAATAGAAGTTTCATATTTTTATTCTCGAAATAGGAGTTAAAATACATTTATATTACCAATCATGACCATTTACATTACAAAAAAATATACTAAAATACTCATGCACAGTATCACATTACTATCGTGCGAACTCTTATTTAGAAAATAAAAACATTGAACTCCTATTTTGGTACTTTCTCTATGTTTACTTTTACTTTGGATGATTTTTTTAAATTCAGTCAAATGTCGTAAACCAAAATAAGCAATCTAAATTAGGACAGAGAGTGGCTTATAAGTCAATTTATAAACACAATAAAACACGTCATCAGCTGATTTATAAGTTAAAAAAACTTCTAAGCAATTTGACCAACTTATAAACACAGAAAAACTCACTAAAAATTTGTACTATTCAACTTATTTTTTCAATTTATTACTTATTTTTATTAAAACCATATCAAATCAGACCAGATCAGGTCTAGTAAAATTACATCCAACCAGATTTGAATAGATCGGATTAGATTAGATCTAATCATATTAGCATAGATCTTCAAAATGTTAGATCAAACCAAATCAAATTAGAGGAGGAGAACAAAGCTAATGTCTTACCTATTTTTTTATTGCTAGGTTTTTCATTTCTCTGTTTAAAAAACTATGGGTCACATTTTATAAATATTCTCGAATAACTTATCTCTTTTAAGTCATTTTATAAAAGAACTTCAAAAAGCCACTTATAAACTAAACATTACTCCGTACTTATAAAAAATAAGCAAATAAATACCAACATAAAAAAAATCTCCTATCTTCCGCCGATCTTCTACCTTCAGATTACTTTGAGTGCGTGGGTTTGTGTCACTAAAATTTAGTAGCACCTATCTTAGCAAAGAGAGCACCTTCGTTCCCATGACAGTGGAAATCAATGCCATAGGATTACCCGAGATTCTTACGACGTTCTGTTTTAAAAAATTGATGGTTCCTACCTTCCTAACACTCGAACAAACCCCCACCCGGCCTCACCTAAACCCACTCCACCCGCATCAATTGCTTTCTACAAGATTTAGGCTCCGTTCAACTTATTTTTTCTGATCTGATCAGATTTTTTAGTTCTGATCTGATGGATCTGATCTGATTTGATCTCATTGGATCTAATCTGATCTGATCTGATCTTATTGAATCTGATATGATCTGGTCTGATCTGATTATATCTGATCTGATCTGATTGGATCTGATATGATCTGGTCTAATCTGATTAGATCTGATTGGATCTGACATGATCTGGTCTGATCTGATTAGATCTGATTGGATCTGATCTGATCTGATTAATTATGATGTAATAATAATTTGATTTGACTTTATAAAAACGTTTAAAAATTGTAATGATAATTCATATTATAATATAATCAATATTTTTTATTTTATGATTATTTTTTAATAAAATAAAATTAATTAATTCATATATTAGAATAATCATTCATATTATAATGTAATAATATTTTTTTATTTTATGATTATTTTTTTGTGAAATAAGAATATTGATTTAATATTTTAATAATTAGTTCATATATACATTAGAATAAATATTTGATTTATAAATACATTAAAAAGTAATTAAATTTAGATAATCAATATAGAGAAGAGATAGTATTTTTATTAAAATATTTCATCCTTATAAAAGATCAAAACTTTAGAAACTCAAATTACAGGTAGCAATAAAAAAATATTTTAAAAGTAGAATTAGATTGACATTATCAATGTATTTTAAAAATAATTTTTCGAACGTCTAATAATTAAGAATTACTTTCTCAGTATTCTATTTAACTTGTTTCTAAAATTTATTATTTTTCATTTTTTAAGAATAATAATAACAACAACAACTACTACTACTACTACAACAGCAACAACAACAGCAATAATAATAATAATAATAATAATAATAATTTTTTATGGGATCTGATTTTATTTGATCTATTCTGATCTGATTAGATCTGATCTGATTGGATGTGATCTAATTTGATCTGATCTGATTCGATTTGATATGATCTGATTTTAATAAGAATAAGAAAAAATAAGTTAAACGGAATGGGGCCTTAGTTGACGAGTCAATTTTGTTACTCCAAAGTCAACTAAAACTTGTAGGAAAAAATTGACGATGGTGAATGAGTGGGTCCACGTCGGATAAAAGTGGGAGATTTACCAGAGGTTAGTAAAGTAGAAATCATTAATTTTGGAACGGAACAACATAAGAACTCCAAACAGGATATGTTATAGGATGAAATGGGGGGCTAATGTCATAGGAACGCCCCACCCCAAAGATAGATTGACAACTTTTTAATAGTCCTAAGGAAAGAAGCCTAAAATATGAGTCGAAAGTAAGAGGTGTATAGATATAAGATGTTTACATTAAAGGGCATCCAAAAAATTAAGGGGGGTGTATTCAATTCCGACTCTGCAGGATTTTTTTAGATTTTAAAAGTCAATGAGTATTCAATTGAGATTTTGAAAAATCATTTAAAATTTTGAGATATTCAATTGAGATTTTAAAAAATCTTTCTAAATCTAATGATATTGAAAAATTGATAGATTTTTAAGGATTGTTATAAAAAATGGATTGTGATGGATTTTTAGGTTGAAATATAAATAAAAAAATTGCTTCCAAATCCAATCAAAAGGCCAGGGATTTTGTGTAGACTCCAAAGAGCCGGTTCTTCCTCCGTCTCATCCGTCGGCGAATCTTTAACTCATCTTCTCGATCTCGTGCTTTTCCGATAGAGCTTCGGCCTCTTACTCCTCATCTCCTTCCCTTTCTTCCTCTTTTCTCCATCCTCATCTCTGTCATTTTTCTCCTCTGTGCCCGACCCGGTGGTTTATTCTTTGTTTAGGGCTAGGGCATTTATGGATAGGCCCATTTGTTTTGTTTTTTCATTTCTCTTTAGCTTGAATTACACTTCGATTTTTTGTTTTCTTTTAATTATTCTTTGTGCAACTAAAAAAGTGCTTGGTAAACAATTTGTTCTGGATTTTTTTTTAAAATAAAATTTGTTCCATATTTTGTTTTCTTTTACCTGTTTAATTTTTCCTTAAAAAAATTTGTTTAATTTTATTCAATCATCATTTCAAAAAAAATAATATATTCTATCATTTCTTTTTTTATTCTATCATTTCTAATTTGCAAATTTTAGTTGTTTTAAAAAAAATTTACATCAGTCTTTCAAGCCTGAATTTTTTCGGCAGTTTATAAATTAATTTTTAATCAATTTATAATATATTAAATTATAATAGAGTTATTCATCATATTTCATGTATGATTCTATCACTTATTTGACATTTTGATCAACTTGACGATGGATTATGCATTTTGTTTTATCTCAGAGTACTTATAGATAAATGTGCTTGATCATATCGATAAATGGAAGACAAAGTGATGAATTTTGATTGATGAATTTTGGCATACAAGAATATTGGTTGAAAGATAATAACGGTGTTGTAAAAATAAATTTATTACTTATGACAACGAGCACTACACGGAGTATTATTTTATTCTAATAAACATATTATGATGAGGAAAAGCTTTTAAAAATTAATTTATTTTTATTTTATTATAATATTCTTAAAAAAAATTTAATAGCTAATTACAATAGTTGATGTTACAATAATGTATAACTTTATAAAATAATTCATATTTATGTAAAAATAATCTATGGATTATAAACAATCCAACAGAATCCTATAAAATCCTACTGATAAAATACATTAAAATCTAACAAACTCTGCTTAGACTTAAAACAATCCATGGATTTTACATAATCCATAGACTTTAAACAATCTATCGAAATTTTTCAGAATTGTGATTGAATACACCCAACCTAAGAATTTGACACCCACGAATTTTTCGAAAGTGCTTTACTGCTCATTGTCCTTCAATACAGTAGTCTAATACACAACTGAACAAGTGACGTACAGAAAACAACATTTATAGCAAAAACCAAATGTGGTGGTGGTACATGTATGTTCTGCTGTGAATTTTCAGCTATCAGACAAGTGAATTATCAGCGCTATTAGACAAGTGATTTTAACAAACACCTGGGCAACTTCATGAAGCAAAAACTGTCTTCAATTCCATTCTTTCTTCTGGTATTGTCCGTGAGGTAAAAGAAAGAGCAGAGTTACCCAGCAAGCCATGGCCCCTAAAATATTTAGATTCATCCTCAGAAACCAAGCTTTAATATTCAAGTCGTCGGTCTCTCTCCAGCAGATAGAGGGGGGAAATGAAAGAATCGCAGGGGTTAGTAACTAGATGTTCACAAAAATTACAGGAAGCGAAAAACATTCACTTGAGTTCACGTCCCAGGTGAAGATCTTGAATCTTTTGTTTTATTAACACGGCACATGCAATCCGGACAGGGGAAGGAATATATAGAGTCGTTGGGCCTTTTGAGCTCAATCCCTTTTGAATCACTATGCGCTCGCATATTTAGCATCTGGCGCTTGAAGCTTTTCCACCTGGAAGGAAACAAAAAAACAACCAAATTCAGGCATCACAAAATAACCAAGTAGGATCCCACAACAGCAGGGTCTAAAATGATAAATGACAGGGCAATTAAAGAGCTAATTAAGCAATTCAAAGCATCCTATGTATATATGATTTTCTCAATCATAGATTTACAAGAGTCCAGTCTAGTACCATCAGTTTGTGCGTTAATAAATAAAAACAATACGCAGTATGTTTTTGTTCAAGGACATAAAAAGTAAAATTAAAATTGTGTTGCAAAATGCCTACCCAATATTTGGATTATCAAATATTAGTGCCAACTTTCTCTTGTCAGGCCTGATTGTTCTGGAGTGACCGCCATACAAGTACCTTCGGTGGCCTAGCAGGAAATGTGGGAAGTTCCCACCTTGTGTGGTCACAAATACTTCACTGTAAAGACATACAGTGTAGTCTATAGCAGCCATCCTGGATGAATAATTCTGGAAGCAATAAAAGTCAAACATATTATAAAAGTTTCTACAAGAAGATGCCACTAGGATGACTAAACAAACTTACACCTGAAATGGAGTCAGTTCTTCTGGTGATGCAAGCATCTCTTTTGTTTGTAAAAGAGGAAACATTTCCAATAGAGGTTTCATGTATCTCTCTGAATCATATATTTTACCGGATGCCAAATAGATGGATGTGGTCTTATCAAATCCCATCCCTCGTAACATCAAACCAACCTGATAAATGAGAGGGATTAAATAATGGAGTATGAAGCATGTGCCCAGTAGTGAGATCACAATACTAGAGTCAGTAATAGTTCCAACTGTTACCAAGAAAGTTTTCAGGAATGCATGTAGAGACATCGACTGAATGACCCCAGCTTTCTTAACTAGGGTTGCAGCCAGCTTTTCAAATAATTTCATCATTGAAGATTCTAAAGAAGCCTTAATGAAAAAAATACATTTCATGGATTGAGGATTTACTGAATAACATTTCTATAAACCATGACTGTCACCTTCATTGACATTGCCATAAAAAAATATTTGAACTAGAGTAATTAGGTCCAAATGTCTGATAAAACAGGTCTTAAGTTATAGAGTTCAAACACAAACTATTTGTGAATTATATCCATCTAGACAGATTGGTGCATTATAGAAGTATAAAGACTATATTGCAAGAACATTACCCCAAAGCCTCAAAGGCTCCCACTTATTGCGGGGTAAGGGGGTCAGATGTACGCAACCGGACCACTATGTATGAGACATAGAGCGGCTGTTTCCAAATGACCCATGATGAGCGTCGAAAGTTGCATTGACTAACTGCTGCTTCACTATCAAAAGAAGCACAGATAATTTAAAGAGCCATTTTATTTTATTCCATCATACTCCAGAGCCAAAAAATAGTAAATCTTTGGCTCCATCGGACATGATGGAACGATAAAGACTACATATATATATATATATATATATATATATATATATATATATATATATATATATATATATATATATATATTGCAAAGTATAGCTGTAGATTTTAGAAAGCATGACATCATTGCTTAGCAAATCATCTTTGTAAATAGCTTTAAATGTTCCTCGGGAAATACACTCTCCTTTACAATTCACATTTATCAAAGCCATCAGACAGTTCCAACTTTGAGGGCATGAACAGCTCTGTTTTCAAACTGAAAAGTATATATTCTGATGTAGAATGTAGAAGATGTGATGTTGATGTACTTGAATTCTCATGCATTCATTTGGAATTAACAAAGTAAGGTCAATCCAACCAAACTCAAGACATCCATAGGTGATAATTATTTCAAAGATTGTTTTTTGAGGTAGCACACAACAGCAAAGTAATTGATTGCACAGTATATCTTCTAAACTTCAAACTGTCAAGAATAGGGGGGAGGGGGGCATAGCAGGAATGAAAGTTTAGGTAAAAATGTAAAATACTAAGTAATATGCTATAGATCTTACCTCTAAAGGTGTCAAGGGACACTTCCCATTTATCCTTATCGCTCCAGGACGTATAACTCGACCACGTTTCGTAAATTTTCCCTTCCATCCTCTCTCCCTTGCAGCATCCATGTCTTTTTTCTCTCTATCTCCACCATCATATATACAACAGGAGAAAGCAACCATATCCTGTATAAGAGAGTGGTAAAAGCACTGCCCTTATTCTTGAACTATATAAGCCAATGACACACAATAGGAGTATGTAGCAATCTCTCAAGTCTCAACTTCTTCAAGACTAACCTCTTCAAAGCGAAGATGAATTGAAATATACTTGCCACTGTTATTTACACTTCTTTCTTTCATTCTAGCAACAAGTGATTCACCCAAAGATAAAATGGGCTTTGAAAAGTGAAGGGCTTCGTAATTGGCCAAGCACCTAAGCCTTTGAACTACTGAAGGAGCATCAAATGACAAACGGTTTGCAAAAGGGGAAATCCGGATGATCCTGTGTTGAAAATGTGAACTTATCATCAATGACACTGATCATGGGGAACACTATTGATTAACAAATGTAAGCAACGTAATATTGCAAATTAAAATTTCTCTTTAGTGCAAATATCATTTATACCATTAAAGATATTGCATGACAGAATTGATAATTGCTTGGTTTAGTAACAGTTTAATTCCAAGTGAGCACATGAAACAGTTCAGTCTTAGTACCTCGCATCTTTTATAAATGCCAACTTCCATCACTACATCCAGATTAAGTCTCCATTTACATAATTTTTGTTCTCACCACCAAATGGATTAACTCAATCCATATGGCATATGAAACAATAATTTAATCTTTTCTAAATGGATACAAGTACTTTTGGGTCAATAGGATTGTCAAAAAGTAACAGAATTTGGCCTTTAACAGGACTCAAAGGATGTTGCAACCACAACATTATTAATGAATTAGTGTGTTTACCTGCTGCAGCAGGTTATTCATTAGAAACTGACAATGTGCACTATTTTATTAAGTATAATCTAGTGCAGATGACCCACTTATTTGAAGTCTTACAGTCTGGGGTGCAAGACTTAATAACGACAGAACATGAATCATCGACAATGGAGACAAATGAAGTATTTAAAAAACATATGGATTCTCTGACACCAAAAAAGAATCCATATGGCTTTCGGAAAAAAGCTAATAGTAACTGCATCATGATATTTGATAAGTGTAAAATTTTGAATGTAAAGACTCCTTGAAAATGACAACCCAGAGCAAATTATGAGATCATTGTCATTTCTCTGGTAAAATAATTCATGTCTTCCGCCATCATCTACTATTCAAGTTCAGTCGTCGTAGATTCTTGCCTAACACCCTGGGGTGATGCACTCAATTCAAAATCGTTAAGTGAATATTTTAAATCCCTGTGCGTTTACAAATCATTTTTTAGTCCATGTCATCGGTTTTTAAGTGTAACCCACTGTAGCTCAAAACATTTTGCAAGCATTATTTTTATATTTTCAACATTTTTTATCATCAACCAAAAGTAATCAAGAAAATCTCATTTGTACACCGATTAGTGTAAACCAAGTTGTATATCACTGGCGATCACCCACTTTATGTTCAAAACGACAAGCATTCATGTTCACACTGACAAAACTGTGTTACGTGTGAAGGCCGACAAGCATTTTTGTTCACACCAACAAAACCTGTTTGTGTATCATTGGTGAAGACTTTCACAAACATCGCAAAGACGAATTTTGTAGGTGTGAACAAAAATGGGTGCTGTACAACTAGTTATACATTAAGTGGTGTTCACAAGGCATAGCCCAACTGATCATTGCTTTCTAAATGTTCATATAAAATCAACAGTCTATATCAAAAAATGTGCTCAGTTTCAAATCTTCTGAAGCACTTTGTCCAAATAAATATCTATTCAGTCCATAATGAGAAAATATGGTCAGTTTTGATCCCCATGATGCACGGCAAGGCTTTAAGTGGAGGCTTTGGGTTGGGGGCGATGGAGCCAACATAGGTCTCCATAATGAAAGCCATTGCAACATGTAAAGGCTATTAATTCTAAGCAATTATTACTATTATTATAGCAATAATAATAATAATAGTAATAATAATAGTAATAGTAGTAATAGTAATATACTAATGATGAGAGTTTTGCATACTAATAAGAGAAATGTTTCCATCATGGGAAAAAGACACATTAAAAATATGAAAATTGAAAATCAGGCATATGCAACTAGTTACATATTAAGTTTCACCCAGTCTGGACAAAACACACGAGTGACTGCTTTCATATCCTGTAAACAAGGACATAGACAGTTGACCCCTTTATACCCCTACCTGGGAACTTTCAAAATGTGCACATAACTGGATCATCACTGAGAAGAGTTGTTTTATTGTGGTACTAAGGTCCACACATAAAATACGGACCTTCTCACTTATTTTTCATGGGCTCACAGTTGGATCTCCTTATTTATACAAGGTCCATTACATAAAATCATTTTATGTGTGAAGGTCCATAAAATAAAGTAGATGAATTTGCCCACTGAAGAACCCTAAAAGCAAGAACTGCATAATCCTCTGTCAGACATTAGATTATGTAAATACTCTGTCTACCCTAAATAATGTTCATGTTTCGGATGACGAAGTTTGACTAAAGTTATTCTCAATTTATTTTACGGTATTTATAGAATGGTGTAAAGTTAAAAAATAAAATTTATTGATTTAAAAACTATATAAAAAATTCTAAAAAAACAAGAGGTGACATAATTATAATTTTATCATATGATCAATGAAAATATGTAAAGAAAAAAGATACTCCCTCCGTCCTAATTCCCAAAATAACTTCTTTCATTACACATTTTCATTGATTGTCTAAAAAGTTGAAATAGTGACCACTTGTTGTGTAGAACTTTTGATGTAGTTTAAATTACTCCGTATATAATTTTATTTTTAGGGTCTACATTCTACACCAATTTTTAAATATATTAAATTGAAAATAAATTCATTCAAACATTGTAAATCGAGACGGGAACCTTATTTTGGGGAGGAGGAAGTATAATTTGACCCAATGAATAGTAAATGAGAATATCAAAAAGGGATGGAGAGGGTACAATATAGAATTGTTAAGTGAAAATAGTTATGAACATAATGTCCAGAAACTTACTTCTCTTCAAGCAGCTTCGGCAAAACAGTGTCTTTGTAGTAATTAATAGAAGACCATGCTTTTATCCTGAAGTTGTATACATTGCTCATGTTGTGGTCAAACCTTCCCATAATGTAATCAGGAATTGTATCCACCACTCGTACATCATGTTCGAGGATTTTGACAAAAAACTCTTTATCATAAATATCTCCGAATTTGCTGTGTGAATAACCCAACACAAGACATTTTGCACTTTGAGAAGGAGAAAGATTGGAGGGCCAAGTGAAATAACAATTTTAAAGCTACCCAGAGCAAACCCTTATAAATATAGTTGTGTAATACTTCCTCTGTCCCCTTTTTATCTTTCCTTTTTGGGTCATACTTATTTAAGTTTCCACATTCCCTATAAGCAAATTATTGTGTAGTCCATATTGATTCTTTCGTTTCTAAATAAATCTCAATCATACATTTTCTATTTCTTACACTATGTATTAAACGTAAATGAGAACATTAGATTGGGACAGAGGAAGTAACCCTGAAAAGGTGGCCATCTCATTATTGTGTGATCAGCATTGAGATACATGATTAAATCCATTCTAATGATATGTTAAGTTTCATGAGAACTATTTACATTAATTTGCATACACATCTTTTGAATTCCTATATAAATGGGTGAATACCATAAAGATACAGAATAATAGAAAAGGATGCACTTACCTTGGATCCCTCCATATGCTATGAAAATGGAAGTGTGGAATCACAAGAGTAGCATTAAGATATCCAGCGACAGCGACAGCATTGCATATCTAGAACAAGATAGACATCATCATAAAATGAGTATTTAAGATATGTTAAATGAAGCATCAATATTTGAAATAAATAAATAGGCAAAAGTATGGACTGTAAACATACTGATGTTCTTTGTTGATTCAAACCACCATTGGCCTCAATATAAATATAGCCATTTGATTCTGGTAAACCTAATGACATTGTAATGCAATCTTAGAGCACAACTCACTATAATACAAGAGCTAATGAGTTGATTGAATAAATCTTGTTGTTATTCAGTATTTGTGTGATCTGTTATAAAAATTAGAAGGGAGGATAATAAAAAGAAATATATTCATTTTCATCTATTGGTGCAAAAGGTGAAATGTTGATAAATATAGAAAGGTGTGGATTTCAATTTTAACAATATACCAATACATAATAAAAAATTTATGATATCAATGAAAGCAAAGTACAATCTATATGAGTTCAAAAAAAATAAAAATACAATCTATATCACCTGGGTATTTTGTTCTACCTCAACATTCTAAACAACAAAAGAATAGGTAGAAATAGAAAAATTCCCATGATATATGCAAAAAAACATACAGCAACAACAATAATTAAGCATTAGTCAAAAAGCCTAGGGGCCAGCTCAATTAACCAACACAAGAACTCTTGAAACACAACAATTCTCATTTTTCACTTTCCTGTCACGTACCATATGTTCTTGGATCACTTAAGTTCTAATGTGTTTTTTTACACCTTCAATGCATGTTCACACCTCCTCTTTAAGTCTAAACTCTAAATTGTTCCAAGACTCCACTATTTGTATCAATGTACAAAAATGGATATCAAGTTTAACCATATATATTGAAAGAATTTAATGAGGTGAAGAGGAGTAAGATGCCATCTAAATCACCAGGATTTTTGTTCTACAAATCTTAAACTAAAAAATAGGCATATCAAGAAGTTCGCATGATGTACACATAAAAGCATACAACAACAACAAACAAACAAACGAGCTTTAATCCCACATCATTGGGGTCAGTTCAATTAACCAACTGAAAACTCTTGAAACCCACCACTACCATAATTTGCATTTTTTACTCTATCCTGTTATGTACTGTGTTCAACAAGCCCTAAAGTTCTAATGTGCATGTCCTTTTCTGGCCTACCGCAACTCCTATTTAGATCTCAAACAATCGAAGACTCCACTCTCTACATCAAAGCACTTGCTTCTTAAATCTTGACAACTAACGTGCCCGCATACCTTTGTTGCACAAACTATCTTTTTAAATCTAAGTTAGACATTTATTTTAACATACACATATTTACAAATCTTTTTATTAGCCTATCAACCCAACATTCTGATTTTAATAATGAAGCCGATCAAATTACATTTGTTAGACATTAGACTTAAGAGTACATTACGGTCACATCATACTCCAGACATTTCCCTCCATTTTATCCAAAATCTGCATTAATCTCGAATATCACATTGTTGTGAATATCTTTACTCTTACCCATAATAGATCTCAAATACTTGAGGCAGCC